GCAATTGCTGCAGAACAAAAACAGCTCAATGGCATCCAAGATCCAAACCTGCCTTAGGCAATTGTACACAGAGTCCACAACGGTGTTACTCAGAGGTTCAAGCACTGCCAGTGATCAGCTACACGAGGCCACGTGAAGAGAGGCTATATTTCATCTAGACTAAAAGAATGCATTTAAAGGAATTAGCAGAGAAATGTAAGACCTGCTTCTTACCATCAGAAGAGTAAATGGGTATTTCCACGAACTGACAGAGGCCAAATATAGTCAAATGGAGGCAAAACACAAAATTCCTCAAAACAAAATGTCAAGTATAATCCACCAACAGATGAAGGGGAGAAGCCATTACTGACAAATACTGCAGAAAGCCTTTAAAGGAAAAACTGGAGAGAGGAATAACAAGGCTGACCTAAGCCATGGCACATATTATTTGGAACTGCACTGCATAATTCCTAGGCCTGTCTGCATAGTTTTTACTAGGGCTGTCCCCAAAAGTCAACTAGCTACTTCAACTGTGACACTGTCCAATGCATGGATGTATAAGGTCTGACCACACTATTTAGCAAACTGCTGCCCAGAACGAGGTGAAGTTTGTACTTTGCTAGATGTGTTTTCAAGCATCACTGTCTACTTTTACAAGAGAACAGACTTTAATGATCACAAGGATGTGGTTCATTTTGCATATGTGTGTCCAGTTTGTTTGCTCATCTCCATTAAAGTTTAATGCACAGCCGTTTAGCTTATGTTTCTGTAACATGCATCCATCCAAATGGGACTAGGAAGGTAACAAAATGCGCTGGGAAAACACTTCAGTGAGGAATTATAAATCAGAGGAATCATAAATATACATTCTTGTGTTCTTTAGCAGTGCAAACTGGCACACATCAAATGCACAGTAACAACAAGCTTTAACTTGTTGGTAAACTAGGCTATAACCATGTCTCACAGGAAAAAACTGCCTACAAGAGCGCTGATTCAGCAATACAAGTGAGCTGCCAGTCTCATTATTCAGACAAGTTCATATGGCAGCCTGATATTATATATCGTCTGTTTAAATAGGTCACAGTTTAACTATTGCATCATATGCAGCTGTCTTTTAAATGCTCAGAAATATGTTCCTGTCACTCTTTAGCATTTTATTATTGATGTTAACGTGGTTGAAATCAGTGAAATTCATGCCAGTTGGTTGTCTGACAGTCTGTGTATTTATGTGTATGTATATATATATATATATATGGCCCTAGTTTGTACACCTTATAACACCCTGAAAAGTCAACGTAGCTTAATCTTGTTAGCACAGTAGATAAACAGGAAACTGTATCAAAACTTTGTGACAATCTTGCTCAAGGGCATGATGTCGTCAACACTAGTACAACACTGCAATGACGACCAACCTGCTATAGAGGGGAACTGAGAGGGGAGAGATTTCACTGGGTGTTCACTAAAAACAGCCAGCTAGTGTTGTGACGCACCATTAGGTCTGCTCTGCAGTGTCTGCAAAAATGCTCACTATAGACGAAAGGATCCAAACGCACAAAACTCAGCTCCAAACTGACTGCAATGCACATTTTAGACACTCACTAAGTATACTGCAAATTGAGTATAGATTCTGACATGCCTGTTTGTGTCTTCACTATTATACAACAAAACACACAAACACAAAATGTCTGTATTTTTTCTGTATTTACCAGTCACCTTATTCATTGCTGCCCTAGTTTAAAAACACCCAGGACTGCTCCGTTAGTTTTGCAAAAGAAAGCCTGCTCCATCTACAAGAAGCCCATGAGGTAACTTGCCTCCAACTTATAAATCAGCCTGCTTGCAATTATTACTACTCCCCCCTTTGGCTACATGTGCAGACCCAGGTGTAGGTACCAGCCATCTATTTATAGTCACGTGTTTGCTTTTTGTTCAGTCCAGCCTGCGCTATGAAGATTTTGCCTTCTTGCATCCTTCTTCTCACAAGTTACAGAAAGCTCATTTCCATATAAAGAAAACAGCACCTGCCTGCTACAAATACATGACTGTTAGAAGAAGCAGTTTCCAACTAACCTCTGGGTGATCAGAGGTCATTTAACTGAATAAAACAAGAATACACAGCAGAAATTGTAAGTGCAGCATAAAGCATCTTTGACTAGTTTGTTCAGGTCAGGACTGTGCAGGCAGTGTTGTCATAAAACTACAGGAGGCAGCGACACGTCACTACAGAGATGCAATCAGTCAGAGTTTTCCATTTTCTTGGTGATGAAGCATATAGTCAGTGAACCTAGTCTAACATCCAACCATCCACTGTACTGGGGTACAGACTACCTGACAGCTGGCCATGGCAGAACAGAAGCACAAAAAGGGAGATTAACATAAACTAGAAAATGATGGACAGAAAGCATAGAGGACACTGGAAATGCTGGTGATAAGGCCATCAAAAACAGAGCAAAAAGCAAGAAGATGAACATGCAAGTCTCTGGCACAACACAAGCACTCATGCCTGAAAGTGAATGAAAAAAGGGAGTGAGTCAGTTGTTCATGAAAAGCCATGTAGGGCGCTGAATTTTTTACACTGCAAATGGAGTACCACCACCAAGTCTGCTGTAAAACCTCTGTTTGACATGACAGTGCACATGCGTGGTATATTCAGATGCTGTGTGCGTGGATGTAGAGTACAACATAATGGCTCAACAGCTCGGTAAACAATGAACAGATCTTAAAGCTCAAGATACTTAATCACCGACCTGTCTAAGACTGCTGTTACTGTGTTCACATTACAAGCAACTATAAGAACAAAAACCAGCTTCAGTTCTGTTTGTATAATCACAAACATTGTGTTGGTTGTTTTATTTTAAATAGGTTTATCCTGTGACTTCTTGTCAGGAGTCAGTTTCATAATGGTGTTGCAGCTGCTTGTGTGGATCATGAAAACAACACTGAAGGTGCAAATAACCAACACCTAACTCAAACCAGCTGGGTCGTGCTGGAACATGAAGAAAGTTGCGTGCATTGCAGTCTGCCTTCAGCAACAGCATTCTAAACCTATGAGCAATGTGTTATGTGTGTAATTCAATGGCTACCTTCTGACCTCTACAGCCCACACCAGCCAACGTTATATAACTGTGGGTCTATATGGCATGCACTATTCATGTGGGTTGACTGTGACTACAGGTAGAAGACACTTACCGCCATCACAAGCTCAAAGGGATGCTTGTACACCCGTACAGGTGACTGGTACTTCTGCACCATGATGGAGATTACAATAGCACCAACAACCTGAAGAATAAACCAGTCAGAAAAGAAAAAAAATTAAGCAACGATGACAGGCATTTGTGAAAGAAAGAGAAGGCTGCACTTCATTCACTCAGGGTACCATCACAGTAACCATGCGCTGAGTGCCAAAATTATAGCAGCATCGGGGCCTACAATGTGTGTAATTCAGTAAAGGTGTGTTTCGGCTGGCTGCTTCAGTGATGCCAGTGGCGTGTGTGTGTGTGTGTGTGTGTGCAGCCCAAAGTGCAAAAAAACATGTACAGTGACAGGCTGCAGCAGAGAACTCTCCTGATCCATGACCAGGAATCTCAGTTATCAATGGACGCAGCATTTCCTGCTCATTTATCAAACAGAGACTGTACCACTATAATTGTTTGTCACTGAAAACTGCTGGGGATATAACTAGGCTAATTCTAACTATTATCTCTGCAGAAGCTCAGGTCAGTTTCACACAATGACACTCCACATAATTTAAAAAAAAGCAGATGCTGCTCATTCTATGTCATGTAAACCAGAGGCTTGAAAACAGGATGAGACTGAGTAAAAACATATGAATAAAGAGAATCTTTCAGTCTCTTGAAAATGTCTGGTAAAATGGCAAATGTACCTAAAGTATTTGTTCATGAGCCGTACGCAGATGTGGTGACTCTGTTTACTATAGGGAAGTTAGTAAAAGTACAAAGTGCGGCTGGAACTTCAGGTCCTGTTTGTTCAGCATACTGATGCACGTCTGTTCAGCATGCTGATACACGTTTCTAACTCCTGTTATGCTGTGATGGGAACATGGCTGCAAGGCGGATTGTGAGCTAACGCCCCAGCAATACATACAGAGGGATCAGGGCAGGCAGACTAATAATAACCAGGCTAGGACAGAAGAAACACAAACAGGTTACCACAATGTTCCTCTCTAAATACCACATATCAAGGACTGCCAGACACAATTACTGTCATGTTTCTGGATCTGTCAGCAATGTCAAAAACACATCAACCCAAGACAATTATTTTAATTAAACTTCAAGTGGCAGGGTTTATTTTCTCAGTACTTTTTCCAAATCCAAGTGATTAACAACTGCTATTTAAGCACTCTCTCTTTATTAATTTGTTAAACGTTTATAACTTCTGTTTTGTGTACAAGTTTCTCAAGCTATAATACTGGATCAGTTAGTTGGCACCTTAGGTTTGCATGGTTTCGTTTTGAATCATTTGTTTTGTTATCATATGAACTACTGAGGTCCCTGTAATAGAAAGTCAGCTACACATTAGATCCTAAGACTCTAAAGTAGACAGAGGATACTGGCAGAGTTATTGTAAGGATCGGTTGAGCTTAGGCATCAAAACCACTACTGTTTAGGGTTGGAATTAGGCAAAGTCCATAATGAAGTTAGAAGAAACACACATCTGCGGGTAAATACACTTCACTTCCTACAGAATCTACTCCCGAGTCTTAGACTAACAGGAACCATCTATAACGTTTAACGCCAGCGTTAAGTTTATAGTCAGCTACACCTGGAAAAAATAAATGTTTTCAACTCCAAACGTTACCTTTCTGGCCGGCAGTGAAGATGAAAATTAAACTCAGTAACAGGCATCGTTATGCTTTTAAACACAACCACACCGTGGTTCGCATTTGCCACGCCGACTTGTTAACATTGGGTTAGCTTACAAAACAACAGCGCTGGCTGACACTAGCCCGCAAGCTAGCGCTAACTTTACAAATTGTTAAATGTTAACTTAAGAAGGATCGTGTAACCGGTGCTTACCAGTGATTCAGAGAACTAACGAAATCTGCGCTGGTTTAGTATGGTTAGTCGTTGTTTCTCCTGAAAAGGCTTCCCGAGTGAACTCTTGCCATTCCCGTCCTCGTCTCTTCAATTCGCCGGGTCCGGCAGCAGCTAACTCTCGTTAGCTGCGTTGTGCTAGCTGGCCATATAGTTAACCGTCAGACAAGTCCCCCTCAGCGCCCGGCAGTTACAGGAATGCTAAAAGCCATGAACTAAATATCATAGGCAGTCCACTGTTAAATGAGGCTTACACACTTGAAGTGTCAGCACAGGAGGACAGTATCCCTCTGTGAGTCCTCTCCTCCGGTTTCAGTCATGCCTGTGATGCCGTCGCTCCTCCCCGTTTCGTTAGCTCAGTTTTTTCCACCTCTCAGGACAACGCAGTGCTACGTTCATTACAGCCCACATCCGTGTACTGCCTGGCCACATCTGTTCCAGTGAAGGACAAACCACTGAGGACAGTCTTCTATGGACAGTGCGAATGATCAAGCCAAAACAAAATGTATTCCTCGGGTCACAGAGTTCTCGTTTGGTTTTAAAGAATTTGCCATGAATTACACTGCAGTCATAAATGGTGTGCACGAAGTATCCTTATGCAACCGGCTCAGCAGATCACCAGATTAATGTTTCCAGTGCATCGTTATTGACCTGAGGGGCGAATTGTGTTGCAAGTGAAGCTGTCAGAGCGCCAGAAGGACATGCAGACAATGTTTCAGCATCGTTTTTAGACCTTATAGAGCATCCGCTCACCTAGTTTACAGAAGCCTTCTGTTAAAAATGTGGCCATTGTCAAGCTAAGCTGAGAAAATAAAATAGGCTCCTTCGGATCCACAGAAGAAGATTTGCAGTGGTTTTCGCAGCACATCACTCCACCTTATTGTTAATGTACCACCTTATTTGTGAAGGGCCAGGAGTTTAAATCATCATCAATCATGTCAGTGTCTGTCTTTTAGCTGCTCAGAATGTGGGTCTTTCCACAGGAGTGTTTTTGGTTTCCTCTCCCCTCAGAAATGTGTGACCTTAGCGAGGTGTCTGACACCCAAAGGCCTGGTGTAAATGGAGAAAGTTTAAGTCATTTTGGGCCGCAGGTAATCAGTGTTGGAATCTGGTACTGGCATGTGAACAAGCTTTGCAATACCCTACAAACACTATAGGATCAGTTACTTTACACACTTGAAACACAAGACCTCAGCTGCTGTACAATTTTAAACAGGGTTTAATTGTGAAATGTTAAGGTACATGTTACCTCACATTGAGCCTGTGGTAACAAATGGTACACAATTACAAAATGTGACTAAAAATGCAAAATATCAAACACATCTAAATAGCTGGTCACAAATATGTCTGGACTTTGCTTTGACTTTTAAGCTTTTGTTTAGTTCTCAGAGTTAAATACACTCACATCCTAATTATGTAAAAGCTTTGGTGGTTGATGACAGTAGTAAGGCAATAGTGTTTCAAAGGGTAGGCTAGTTGACTTATAGCTTACACAATGGTCTGCCACCACAACAAAAACGGTAAAGGACAGCAGCCGTTACTCTACAAAGACACAACTAAATAAAATTTATTGTATAACATAATGTCTGGCTAGAGAATTTGTTTATGGGGAATATAGTCCATTGTGAACTCAGCCCAAAACAGGATGTAGCAGCAAATATTACAGCTTTGGCTGAGTTTAAATCAAGGTCACTGTAAAGGTCATCATATTGTTTGTTGTCCAGTACTTGAGCATGGGTGAACGTCACATTATGTGAGTGAAGGCAGAACAAAGGTATCATTAAATGGGGTGTGCAGTGATCTTGGTAGGCTAAAGACAAATACTATGTTGCTGTGACTATAGATTCAAGTTTAGCAGAGGAGTGTTGTCATCATTTTCTTACACCCAGTATGGAGCCAATCTTCTAGTCGTTTCAACTCCTTAAAGGCATTTGCACACTGTCATGTTTCCTATTTTAAAAACATGCTTTACATTTCTCCTCACTGTCTCTAACACCTGCATAGATCCTTCATACAAATTCCTATCTTTTGCGTGATTCTTGCTGATGATGTCGGTGAAAACAGCTGCTGATACTTTGATGCCTCTCATTAACTGTGCTGAGTTTGCTCAAGAGTACACGTTCTACCTGAAATATATAATAGTAACATGAGGAAAATGGTGGATCAATCATGGATGAGCAGACAGCATAACATGCTGCATATTTGAATAGAAAAGAGCAAAGCTTCTGTGACCCAAGAACATAAAGTGGATGTGCGGTGTCCTCTACTGGGCAATGACTGCAGTTACAACTAATTGCGTCTAGGGGGCAATCAAGAGGTCAAACAGCCATCAGCTCGCATACATTTCACTGATGGGGGATTTAATTCTGATTCTATTGCATAAGAGTTTAAGCAACAACAGGCTGCAGAGCTTTGAATTTTAATTGTTTTAATTCTAATTTAATTTCCTCAGTAAGTTTGGTCAACACCTGTTGTTTTTAAATGTGTTCACTAAATACATTTGACTTGACTGAAATAATCTTATTTGTAGCCTCTAGAGTGAATATACAAAAGAAATCAATCAGGGCTAGTAAGTGTGTTAAATGACAATACACACAGTTCACATGGTAACAAAATATTAAAAACAGTAAGCTCATAGTGAAATCTTTCACCCCAGTATCTACATTCTGGGTTAGTTTGGTTGTGGCATTAACATTCTATTTTATCTCAAATAAACAAATAACACTGTGTCCAAAGTCTTCTATTTTTTTCAGATGTCTCACCTTATTCACTCTCACAACAAACAGGGGCTGATATTGTACTCATATCTTACAGTAAGAAATGTAACAAGTGAGATTTTATTTTTCATTGAGCCTTAAGAAATCAGCTCATTTATGTTTTACTGCTAGGGATACCACTGATGGCCAGTGGCTCCACCACTTTGATCCAGACTGAATTATCATTGTCATTTGCTATGACATTTTGCACACACATTCTGGATCCAACGACCATGGTGATCCCCTGACTTTTCAAAGAGCATCACCACAGATTTCACATTTTTAATGAAATATGCCCATAGATATTGAATGACTTGCAATGAAATCTGGTACAGATACACAAGAGGATACATTTTAATGACTTTGGTGATCCCAAGACTTTTCTTCTGTCACCACTAGATCAGTTTTCACTTATCCAGTGAAATAGTTCTATCTTTCTGTCTATCATTTCATCGGAGCATTGTGACATGTAACGGACAATACTTACCTATGTAAGTTACAAATGTTGTGTTTGACCCGCGTATTTTTTAGATGTGAGTAAGATGCTACGCTGACAGTCTCTGTGCCTTTTGGCTTGACCTTATCACCCTAATTATGCGGTTAGCAATACAGAAATACGTGCTTTGTCTTCCACGCTGACAGTCTCTGTGCTGTGGATTACATTGTTTACGTTGGTTCTTTTTGTTCACCTGTCCGTTCTCATCCTCCTGCTATCCTAGTTCCTGTCGTTAGTTTGTGTGTTTACCGTCCTGGTCTCCTTAGTCATCACTGCCCTTCCCTGGTTGTATGTATTATGGACCCTGTTATGTTGTCACTTTGTTGTTTTTATTCTATTAAACCACCTTTTTTGTACTAGCACCTGGGTCAGCCATCTTGAGTCCAACCCCAGTTCTCCCTCACCCTCCTGGTGAGGGGGACTAAACCATAACAACTGTGCCTATAAGTGCAGCTCCACAGAGTCACTGTAGACTGGGCTATTCTTATATTAATGTAATTTAGAGATAAAAGTTGCAGAACAAACTGAGGCAATATTCTTTCTCAAATCTGTGCAAGAGAAGCATAAACATTTCTTTAAGTTGATAATACAGCAAAGTGATACATGACAATGTAAAAATTCTTTTCATTATTGATTAAAATTGGATTATTTTCTCAGTTAATCATTTTATTTACACTGTAAAAGGTCAGAAAATTGTGAAAATGCCCTGAATAATTTTGCACAGCTTAAGCTGACTAACAGTCCAGAGCCAGTTCAGTTTACCATCAGGTCTGACAAAGAAAAGCATCAAATCCTCACAATTCAAACCTTGTACCAGCAAATGGTTTTTTCATTATCAGAATAGTTCCAGACTAATTTTCTGTCAATCAAATAATTGATTAATCATTGCAGTTCTTGAGCCAATACACATGATCAGTATCATTTCAATATCATTTTCAATATTAAAACACAGCAAAAGGGGGGGCCATTTTATAACAAAACTCTGAGTGTCCAGATATCAGGTGTAAAGTGCAGAGGGCTGCAGTGGCATCAGCAACCTGCTGTGCACTTATATTTTACAGTACTGTCACAGCTTCCCTTACTGGTGACATGTCTCCCCGCCGGGACAACAATATCCTGCAGGTGTGTGTGAGCAGAGAGCAGCATGAGTGCAGGAAGTGGTTTTCAGACATTGACAGGAAACTGATGTTAACAGTCAACAGCCTATACACCCACAGGTAGCTGATCATAGACTTTCTTATGGACTACTTTACTGATCATGGGCTTAATAACAGTCATAGTCAAACTGTCAAAAATTATTCATCTTTGTTTTACAAGGTAGCTGTTGTCCTTGGCTCTTTGTGTCATTCTAACAGTGACCTGTAAATATAGGAAGATACTCTGAATTGTTGACTTATAAGATTTGATCATTAACTATCAGGACAAATAAGAGAGGATAAGGAGTAACAGTTGGAATTAAAGTATGGCCTTCAAATCCCTTCATTTAAATGGACTCACAGTGTAAAACCACATTTCTCATACTCATACCTTGACGGACTAAACGGCTCAAGAACTGAAACACAAACAGGTTTCCGTTGAGGTGAAGGTAGAACAGTTAACAACTTAGAGCAGCCCTGCATCAAATCACACTTAGATAGCGGCATCTTTGTACAGTACTTGAGTTACTTTAATGCTCAAATAAAAGGCTGATTTCTTCAAGAAATCCTGGGTTGTGGGCTTAGTTTAAGGGGACATCAAAGAGAGTTTCATTTGGAAGAAAAAAACAGACATAAATGCAGAACAGGAAGTGAAGAAGAAGGGAAGTATTAAATAAAAATAAAGAGCGGGCAAAATAGGAAGATTTCTGTGAATACCTCTTTGTGTCATTTCATGAGGAAGCACACAGCCTGTGAGAGACAGGAGTTGGGTGCTGCAAAAACGCAACCACAGAAAAAGCAGCATGTTGTTGCCAGATGACGTTTTGCAAGACAGGAAACGAGAGAAGCTTACAGATAGAACCAGTGAAGGTACAGACAAATTTGTTATCCTTTACACAGACAACAATCTCCAAGACTATAGCAAATCAGAAGAGGAGCAGTTTAGGCCTCCTGTGAAGGTATTAAAATTTTGATTTTGTTTGATACACCTTGAGAGGAGAGGCAAAATTTGAGTCACACACTTTAAAAATCTGAAATGGGCACTGAGGAGAAAGATGCAGATCCTGCAGCTCAACAACCACAGAAGGAGCAGGAATCACCAGAAAAGGAAAAAGAATCAATTGTGGAGCATCCACAAGGACAGACATCTGAGACCACTGACCCCCTCAACTCGTACAAGTGGCATACCGGCTCCAAAGGAACGCTGAACGAGGTGAAAGAAGACGGAGAAGAAGGTGCAGCCCCTTCCTCAACAGTTGATAAAATTCAGAAGGCAACTGCCAACAAATGGAACAAGATGCAGAACTGGCGCAAGGCTCTGAGCGAAGACCCCGGGGATAAAAATTCATCTAGTGGGAAAGGTGGAGAGGGAGCCAAGCCAGACAAAGCTGCAGGAGGAACCAGAAAGAACCCCTTCAGAAGGGCCCTGTCTGAGCCGCCTGGGTCACTCTTTGCAGCCCGCTCCCCTTCCTCCAACACAGCCAGCGCAGCCAGCGCTGCTTCATCCTCAGCTGCTGCAGAGGCCTCAGGGGTCTCCTCCACTGACACCTCTCAGAAAGGAGGTGGAGGCGCACTCCTAAAAAAGTACCTGAGGACTGTGTCCCAGAAGCTCAAGAGGCCCAGGCTGCAGAGTCGGAGTAGCACGTCGTTACTGCCAGGTAATGTCACGTAACCTGACAGTACTTTCAAACTCTGTTAAGTTTAAATAATTTCTGACATTTGGATTGATTCGTTAAATAAGTGCAATTTGTAGTGAATTTTTAATGTGTTAAACATGGTCAAAATGTGAATCCCCACATATAAAATGTTCTCAACAGTGTCACATAGCAAAATGGATACCCATGTGGTTTGAGCATGGTTTCCTTTTACTGTACTGTACTATATCTAGTATCATTCAGTGAAATACTTGAATAGGTATGCGCAGAAAAATAAAAATTAAAAGAACCAAAAAGAACCACGTGCAAATATATTTACAATGAACCGAAGACTCTGAGGTTACATTTTGGAAAAAGGTGAAGTTATTAATTTATCACTAAAAGCTACAGCGTGGTGTATGTTCAGCTTGGAGATAAATGGGAAACTAAGTTTAAGGATCTCAATTTAAAACACAATTTAAAGCAAAACAGCAGAAAAGCTAGAGAAAAATAAAATCACCAGACATCCCTGGGCTACCCTGTCTTTGAATCAGAAGTTGAAACATCTACCAGGAAAAATGTAAATTAAATACCATCAGATAAAATAAGTGTGGATTATTCTAACATAAGCTGAAGAGACAGTGTGTGGTCACACATAATGACAAATCTGAGCCTGACAACTACACAGCATCCGGAGAATCCTCAAGACCTTCTTACTATTATTCCCAACTCCAGATTTATAGACATAAAATATATGATTACATTTTCCTCCCCAGCATGTTATCTAAAGTGCTGGAAGAAAATAACCAAATAAACACAAAATAAATGCTTTTGATGAGTTATAAAAAAATCTCTGACTCAGTCTGGCATTAAAAGGGTATTTAATAAACTAACAAAGCAATGTATGGAGTTTTTTAAAAGTTATTATATAAGAAGGACAAAACTGGATTTCAAAATCTGTGGTAAACAATGTGGGTATTGAAGCAAGAGTGGAGGCTTTAGGATGTAATCCTACTCTTTTCAAATGTAGGCATGTGAACCAGTCACATCACTGGGCCTCACTATTTCAGACAGAGATGGAGATGATTATTCTCTCCAACTCAAAATGAATTTTAGCAGTACTGTCACACTCTCACGGTGAACATGACAAAGACAAAACCCATCACTTTCCAAAGACGGTAAAAGATGCAGACAAATGGGCCAGAAATGTTGTAAGTGAGGAGCAACAGCTAGATATACAAACCACTCCCACAGGAAACGTCCGCTCTGATGAGAAGAAACTCGGTTCTAAATACAACTCAACGCTAAATACAAGCTTCCTATTTACATTCTGACAATGACATGACTGAAAAAAGTAGTTAGTAGGACCTCTAACAGTGGTGCAGAAATCCAAATAAAATACTGCACACAGAGTCCTTATGTTTACATAGAGAAATACAAGATAATTCATTAAATACTGTCTTCTTTTAAGTATTACCTGTTGTGTAGCTGAAACTCCTCCCAGCCAGCTGGTAGAGATGCTGGCCGACCTTAACATCAGAAATCTCAGCCAATTTTAGGACAGCACAAGAGAGCTACACAATGTTCACAGCTTGCTACATACAGGGTTTGGGCCTGACGTGACGGTGTAACTGATCCGAATAACTGACCACAAAAACAAAAAGCAATGACAACATGAAGACCATCCAGCTATAAAAGAGGCAGAAGCAGTTTCTTTATAAAAGATGTTATTCCTACCCCCATCTCTTTGTGTTTTCTTTTAATGGATATTTTATCGTTGTAACATTTTATTATCAAGTCAAATTGGATTTTACGTATATAGCCCAATATCACAAATGTCCCTCAGGGCCTTTGCAATCTGTATGGCCTGTGAAACCCTCTGTCCATAGATTCTTGACTCCTCCAAAAAAGCTTTTAATGAGAAAAAATATGAAAGAAACCTTAGGAAAAGCAACAGAGGAGGGGTCCCTCCTCCCAGAAAAAGAGACATGCAATAGATGTCGTGTAACAGATTCACACAACAGTATGGAGAATCAGAATGGCAAAACTGTGCATCGTAAATGTATGCAAAGAACATTTTATCTGTCTATCCCACACATCTCCTACAGGAAAACTACACTGATCATAGCTGTGATTTCATTACTTCTTGTATTTACTTACGTGTCTGTTAATCTATGCACTGTGCTTTGGCAAAACACAAAATATTGTGAGAATTAAGTACCATGAAAATACATGTTGAAAGGTGTGTACACCAAGAAAACAAAACTACAGAGAAACCACAGGATGTGTGCAGCTCATCCTGGTGTGTCATTAAATGAGAGCAATAGCATCAGCAGCTCCAGCAACTCCACACATGGGAGTGGACAAGTACCGTGGGACATGCATCATGCTATAATTAGCAAAAATAAAAAACAAACAAGGGTCAGCATGTGCATAAACAATTATGTTCCCACAGTAGCCACATATTATAAATGATATGGCTGGTTCTCCAAAATAAGAAACTTTTCTCTATTCTCTTTATTTTGCAGAATGAATGTAGTATGTGATTGCATTGTGTTGATAAAGACCTTAGAGCAGTGTTTGCAAGCTGTGTAATGATGAATATCAATATCATGTGTGTGTACGTGTCCACTTGTGTGGTAGATGTGGGTCAGGTTGAACCGACAGCAGCTGTATCCACTGAACTCCCAAGACTACAATGGGCCCCTCCTCAGGAGGTCCCCTTATGGGACATTAGCAACTGTATCCTCGAAGATGGACAAATTCTCATTTCCCCAGAGGAAGAGGTACTAACACATGCACGTAGTACACTCCACTCACCAAGTGGTTCAGCAAAAGTTTATCACACCTGCAGACCCAGTGCAAAAGTGAAAAACTAAAATCAACACACTTCCTGAAAACAGCACAAAAACTTAAACTCCCCAGAGTTTACAAAATGTGTGAGTGTGTGTTTTTCTTCTCAGCCAACAATGTGGACCCGAAACCGTGTCAGCAGCTGCCTGTCCAACCTCAGCATGCAGAACCTCGTGGATATCGAGACAGGTTAATACAACACACACACACTCACACACAAACGTATGCATTTTAAAATGCAGTGAGCATTAAGCAAAACCATCAGTTATCTGCCCACATATCACCATCATACCAACTACTGACATACTGTGAGTCTGTAGGCAGTCACAGAGGAGATAACTGAATGTTTGCACGTACATGTAAGTGACTGTCAAATTGCTTCCGCCACATTTTTTGAGGAAGACATCATCATGCCTGGGCATTTGAGCAGTTGAATAAAAGCTTGCAGAGAGCATAGTCAGTGTCTGCTTCCATTCGACTTTGGCATTTCATTCAGAAGAACCTCTGAGGCTGCACTGTGGAAGTATCTGACTGGTCCTCCACTGATTTTGGCTGGGTGGCTTTTAAATGAAGACAGGAGTGGAATGTTTAAAGGACAGACATTGAAGTAACAAGACTGTGACACACCTCCAGACTAAATGATGGGATTTAGACGCTGGATTGTTTGTGGTGGGGCATTGGGTAAGCAAAAAAGAGAGAGAACCTGTCTGACAGCACGCTTATGTTTAAACTGCTACGTTCACAAACTGTATTTGTCTTTAACTATGTTATTACCGTAACCGAATGGCTAAAAAGAGGGAGGCTGAAGACACAAATCTGGAGAAATGATGGCAAAAAGTAATATTCTCATGTTATCCTATAAATAATTTTCATTATAATAATGTCTGCTTGCAAAGTATGTACAGTTAGTCAATTTTACTTAGATAGCTGCAGCTCCAGCTGAAAACCACATCCTGTATGGCCTAATCAAAGTGTATTTGCTAATATCACAAGCTTGGCTGATGTTTGAAGAGTTTATTCTTTCTTCAGTTAAAGTGCAGAAATGCATGCTGGTACTGAAGCAGTAACATGACACATGTTGCCTGTGATTTTTGTTTCAAGGGTTTGAACTCAGAGTGTCAGTCAAACAGTTACCTGGACACAAACGACTCTGAAAAATATAAGAAAAAGATATGAATTATTGATTACAATCTCTAAGGGAAAGAATTTATATTTTTATGAGTACAACAGTGTTAGTTAAACTACCACGTGTCACAGTATTGAAAAAACACTGACATAAAATGACATTTTCCACTCACTGTCAAAATCAAAGTATTAATTTCTTCCTTATACTTAGATGGTAGCCCAGACGTGGCCCCTCGACCAAAGACCCAAGATGGCGGAGTGAGGGTGAGTCATGTACACACAAGACTTAACAACCTTTGTGCTTTCCCTGCACTTCCTGTCAGTGTAATATATAATTGTCCTCATCTGTCACACTTCTTCACCCTTAGGCACTGATCAAGCGACGTCTCGAGAACAAGGCCAAGAGGAACAGTAACACCCAACCAGTGGGACTAAACAAAGGAAGCAGGTACGTTGTGTTTGTACAGTCAGAGACAGTCCATAAGGACATGAATATTTAAATATTTGCTTTGTACTCCATAATATTAGATTTGAAATGAAACCTTGAATATGAGGTTTAAGTGCACACATGATTAATTTAAGCTTGTTGACACCAATACAGGGTTGACGGTGTAGTCAGTGTTACCCTGCAGGATTAATTTAAGTTTATTGACACCAATACTGGGTTGACGGTGTAGTCAGTGTTACCCTGACACTGTCACCCTGCACTTTATAAAACTGGAAGGAAGTGGTGGCAAATAGTAACAAGAGCCTACCATCATTTTAGCATGATCGTAAACCAAAGAATAGGTCAAAGTGAAATTCTGAACTGATGACAATAAATGAAAAATTAAGGGATTACTTGTTTCTTCAATTCATCTCGAGTTGGACATGAATGTCTGTGGGTATCCATCCAATAATTGTAGGATTTCTGTTCTGTGTAGCAGATGTTAATATGTTTCACTAGCTAAGTAAACACTGACCTACTGGTGATAGCAGAGGAAAACTGTGACCAAGGGCAACAACCTCTGGGTACATTATTGTTTGCACAGTGTCTGTTTAAAACAATGACAAGAAAGAAAGATACATATATGGCATACATATATATTCATATATCCTTTCTTAGTTCCAGCCGTCTGTGACAGTTCTACATAGCACTGGTATCCCATTGGTGAAACTAAAGTTTAAAGTAAACAGTATTACCTTTGACAAATTATGATATTTGACAAATGGACTAACATTTTGACTTTATTTATTTTTAAGACACTATGGTTCCAGGGAGTCTGTGTCCATTCCAGTCAGTGCACTGGGGAGCTTAGATCTGAGTGCAGACACCAGCACTGTCATCAGGCCAGTCCACAGTTCCATTCTGGGAGAAAAGTACTGCTTTGAGGTACTCTTCAGGTTTCTCAAGGAGCATCATACAGTACCCTCTAGGGCTCTATTTTCCTGCCAGCACAATTTCTGCCTTGCTGAAACATGGCCCTTTTTGTTGTTTTTTTTTTGTTTTTTTTTTTGTACATTGGTGTGTTTGGTATTGCCCCCCCAAGCACGTTTTCATGGGAAGCATGAGATCAGGTACCCAAATGCATTTGAATAGCCACGCCAACTTAAACTTGACCATTAAATCCACAACTGAGCTGCTAGATTCCACTCTGAATAATTTACTGTGTATCATGAAAATTATTTTTAAAAAAGATAAATAAACTAGTGCTTGGTATGTGGCTATATGAATATAGTCAAACAGTGCTGGCACACGTGCAGGACACACCTTCTGTAGCCTACTTACAGGTCGCAGCCAGAAGTGATCTGCAGCCGGTGTTTGGGGAACCAAATCCACATTAGAAATGTGACATAATAACACATGAAAGCAACTCATGAGCCAAGATAAATGACAAACACCCTGCAGACATCTTGATTAATCCTGTTACAGCAGGTAAAGTCAACCTGACCTCACTGTGGCTGCTGTCACTGTTAAGTTCACTCTTCAAACAAACAAGTTTCACACACACACATAACTTCGGTACTTTCCTGTCATATACTTCCATGTCCTGACATCAGTGACATCCATCAGTCAGGTTCTGTCCTGCTCTTTAAAGAGGATGAGAGGAGCTGGTTTGATTGGACATAACTAAGGGCAGTCCCGACCCCACCTGCTCACCATTCCTCCCTCTAATAATGTATTCCACCTGTCCTCCATAATGCGCCCAGTAACACCTGGCTGTGCACAGAAGTGTGCTTCCTCTGCACCAAAATTGCAAAACACTGTTTAACATGCCCATATGCTCCTGGAGTTTAGACATGAGTTAAGCAGTGCACCCTGTTGCAGGAAAATAGAGCCCATAATGTCAGTAAGACTCATACAGTACTATTGGTTTCAGGTGATAAACTCTGAGAACACCCACTGTTTTGGTTGCTCCTCTGCTGCTGAGCGTGACCGTTGGATTGAAGACCTGCGACGGGCTGCCCAGCCCAATAAGGTAAGCCAGAAGCCTTGTGTTCCAAAAATGTGTCATGCACAATGAAAAATGCTGTTGATAAAAGATCTAAATGCATAAATATTCACAGGATAATATTGAGCGTACAGAGAATTCTTTGAGCCTGTGGGTAAATGAGGCCAAGGATCTGCCACCCAAACGGCGTTATTACTGTGAGGTACACCTGGATGGGACCCTATTTGCTCGCACCAGCAGCCGAGCTGCCGGCAAGCCTGCCAGTCTGGCAGGGGAAAGCTCTACTGGGTCTTCTGGAGGCCTAGGAGCCAGTGGAGGAATGACTGGAGGGTGTCAGCTTTTCTGGGGTGAATTCTTTGAGCTAGACAACCTTCCCTGCATCTCCCAAATTTCTCTGCATCTCTTCCGCGAAGAGAAAAAGCGCCACTCCCGAGATGAATCCAGCCTGCACCCACTGGGCAGTGTGGCCATACCTTTAGCTGATATCCGAGGAAGAACCTACCAAGAGAAGTGGTATCCTATTACTCCATACAAGGCCTCAGGTACAGCAGGAAATAAAGAACTGCTGGGGCAACAGGCTTCAATCCGCATCAAGGCCCGTTTCAAGAATCTGCAGGTGTTGCCCATGGAGAAATACAAAGAGTTTGCTGAGTATGTGACGGTGGACTATGTGGAAATGTGCAGAAACCTGGAGCCACTTCTGAATGTGAAGGAGAAGGAAGAGCTGGCAGGAGCTCTGGTCCATGTACTGCAAAGTATCGGCAAAGCCAAGGTGAAAAAAAAAACATTATAATTTTGAAATCTTATTGGGAAATATCACACTCAATATACAGTCTAAAAAAATACAACAAAAAGGTATGAGCAGACATGGTTTCCTGACTAAATGTGTGTGCTTTAGGAGTTCCTCATTGATTTGGGCAGTGCAGAGGTGGAGCGTCTTGGAGAGAAGGAGGCACTGATCTTCAGAGAGAACACACTGGCCACTAAAGCCATAGATGAATACATGAAGCTGGTTGGCCAGAAGTACCTCATCGACACACTAGGTAGGGTATCTCAAATGATAAGAGTAGCTTCCTGGAGGTGACTTTGTTTTCGCTGAACTCTACCTTCTATTTCACTACAGGGGACTTCATAAGCCGTCTTTACACCTCAGTGGAGATCTGTGAAGTTGACCCTCGTAAATGCCCTGCCTCCGAACTGTCAAACAACCAGAAGCACTTGAGGGAAGCCTGTCAGGAGGTGGTGCAGAAGATTATTGAAATCCACGGGTGAGAGTAGAAAGCTCATCACAGAAAAAGCAGTGAAATAACAAATAATAAATGTTTAGGTTTAGAGCTGATTCGTAATGTTTCTTGCCTTCAGACCCTTCCCTGAAGAGTTAAACAAGATCTTCTCTAGCTGGATGGAGCTGTGCGAAGACCAGGGCAGACCAGAGATTGGCCAGCGTCTCATCTCTGCTTCACTCTTCCTTCGTTTCTTATGTCCTGCCATTCTCAGTCCTTCTCTTTTTGGTCTGACACAGTCTTACCCAGAGCCAAACACCCTGCGCACCCTCACCTTAACTGCCAAAGTCATCCAGAATCTGGCCAACTTCACCCTGTAAGCAGCTTCTTATCTGCACAGATAAAGTCAAATACACCACTTCTTTAATTATTTGTACCCGAGTAAAACACATTTTGACAAACTGCAAAACATAGAATGTTATCTTCTTGGCCTCCCTGAAGCGGCTTAAGTAGAAGAAATCTTTTGTTCTTACTCAGGTTTGGTGAGAAGGAGGAGTACATGCTGTTTATGAATGAATTCTTGCAACAGCACTGGGATGGAATGAGAGGTTTCCTACAAACCGTATCCAATCAAGACCCTGATATTCCAATGACTTCCTTTGATGGTTACGTGGACCTGCCTCTGCGCTTGGCTGTGCTCCATGGCCTGCTGGTAGACATCATCTATCAAAAGGACCAGGTAGGATGGAAAACCAGTGGTTTAAGTTTGGTACTTACAGTAATTCTAAAGGTTTGTGTAACTCCCACAGCATTCATCATTTGTGTGTACTTGAACTTAAATCGGATCAGTAGATTGTTCAGCATATCGGATAGTTTCCAGTGTCTCTGAGTCAGTTTGAGGGCTCACATGCACAGAAAATACTGCAACCTCGCTTCTGGCTTGAGTGCTATGCTCCCCAACCTTTAGGGCCTGTTGATGCTAGAAAAGCACAGGTTCGTGTGACATACTGTCCAACCACATTGGAAGGCAAAAGTGTTTAAAGCAGTTCTCAATGGCCACACTTGAAGGTGGAATGAAAAGGTGTCCATAGACAGAGGTGAGATGCGATAATCTTTTAAATACAGAGATAGTGGCTCACATTTTCAGTCTCTAGCGTGGCACTCACTTGTAAACAGAAGTACTGTAGTTTTGTGAAATGTCAGATGCACAATGCCCCCTCAGTTCTGATGATGAAAAAGGCTGAGGGAAGAGGGAGTTTCCAAATGCTATCTGAGCAGTTTAAAAGTACTTCTGATGAAGTTTACTACCACCTTTAAGATCAGATATGGAAAAGATGTAGGTTGCATTTCAGATTTAAATTTTTTGCATATGCTAAGAAATAGACCTAATTATAGTGTATAAGGCTAACCTGGCAGTAATTATTTTGTTCATATAGTGTATGAAGCTACACAAAGTCATTTACTAAAATGCACATCCAAAACGGTTTGTGACAATGACACATACAGTACTATTAAGTGCCCATTATAAGGTTACAGAACAGCATGTCAGATGGCCAAGTAGCTTTGTAAACTACTTCCTCTGCACCTTTCTGGCACTGACCATTTCTGTAACTTTCAACAAGCCGGCATTCATACCCACTTTGTGACATAACTGGAAAACTGCGTGGAGGTCAGAAACGATCCGGAGCTTGAACTTCCCTCTCAAGTTCTCCTTTTTCAATTTTTGCACAACTATTTCTATTAAGTGTAATATGAACAACCCAGCGCAACACTGAATGTCTTCTCAAATGTGCACTGTTATACCTATATCATATACATATCCCACCTCTCTACAATGACTGCATCTTCACCCGGCCTTCTGGTGTGACTGTTAACAACTGTAAACACTTTTAATTTCCAGCCTGGTTGGACAACATATCATACAAGCCACTTTTCTATTTTTACCTAGCTGTTACGACCCTATCAGGACAGGTTTCAAGTGGATATAGACCTAGTTGTGGATGTCTGAGCTGCCACAACTCTGAATACTGTACATTTTGATTGATGTTTGAATGTTTAAAGCCTGTACTAAATGAGGCCTAATATGCAGGTTGTTTCTTCCTCAGGACACAATTGACAAGCTGCATCCTCTGCCTTCAATTCTGAACCAGATAACAGAGTCTCTGGGCCCCGAAGCACCTCGGATAATAGTTAGCAGGCATGTTGAAGCTTTATATCTTAAGTGGTTTGTCAGCAACATGTCATGTATTATGAATGTACAAATGGTGTTGTTTCATGCAAGTTCTTTTTTGCAGCCAAATGAGACAATCCAGACCAGAGTACATTCCTCCTAAAGACTTGAGCAAATACAGTCCACACCAGTCGTCCCTTCAGCAGCTTACTGTGGACTCTGAAGGCCTACGAGACAGGTATGATAGTTACATGTGTACCCCCGGGCTCAGCTACTATTGTCTTTTGGATATCAGTAATTATGAAGTTGATTACTGATGGCGGCATCAATGTTTGTGCTAAAGGATCCATCCATTCAGCCATTTAATTTCTGCCAGCTATCTGGTATGACTCACTGTGGCTACTGTGCAGTTCGGTAGGTGCTAGACCCCAAGCTACAGTACTAAATTGTTATGGAAAATCCAGAGGTACTTCCAAGCCACATCACATACTGTATGTAATCCCTCCAGCAGGTTCTGGGTCTGTGCAGGGATCTCCTCTCGCTTAGTCCTACACAGAATACCTACACACGGAGGTGTCATTTCAGTGTAGTACGCAGATGCTAAAATAACCATAACCGATCCTTCTCAGTACCAGGGAGTAGATATTTTATTCTAAGCTGGTTCTGGACATCTGAGCTCTTCACCCTATCCAATCCATAGCTTCATTCTTTGGGTTACTCCCTGGAGTTAATGACCAATGTATTCAACCATCCAAAGAACACCGTATACTGGTCCCTTAACAGCTGCCTTGGACACCGGGCCTTACAACATGTTCAAGGAACATTTCATTTCATTACATTTTACTGCAAAAAGTCTCTGTGGTTAGTGAAAGACCTATCATATTAACTGTAGACAATACTGACTGACAGGTATCACCTCATGATAGAACATGCCTTTTATTTGTAGATTTGACAAATACACATACCACACACACTCACACTCGCCAGTCAACCTAAGCTGCATGTCTTTGGACTGTGGGAGGAAGCCGGAGTACACAGAGAGAACCCACGCAGGCACAAGGAGAATATGCAAACTCTGCACAGAAAGGTCCTGGGTCGGCTGGGACTTGAACCCAAAATCTTCTTGCTGTGAGGCAACAGCCTTAACCACCGCTCAGCTATGCCACCCATAATAATTAATACATTACTTCATTTATTCAACAGGGATGGCAGGACTCGGAGGAATATGGGGGAGAAGAAGAAACTCAACAGAACACAGAGTGCACCACAGAGACGCCTCAATCCCACAAAACATACTTTGAAGAGGCAAACAAGTTCTGAAGCTCTGCCAACATCTGACCATGAACAGGAGATGGAGACAAACCAACCACATATTTCATCACCAAATACAGTGAGTGAAAATAGGAACTGGGAGCCTAGCTCAGCTATTTAGGCTAATGAGCTTATTTCATGTGCTTGTGCCACTGGAAAAAAAACACCACCTATTTTTATTGGCTTTTTTGAGATACTGCATGTTTTAAAGTCAATAATGAGCACACTTTTGACATTTATGTTAACATGGTGGTAGTATAACTTTGTCTGGTCAATTAGAAGGAATCATGTAGATAATCATTCACTCCGGTTTCAGGGTGCCAGTATCAAACGTCCACCTGCACCAGTTCCCTGGATCAAAGTCAATCCAAACAGAGAGTCAAGTGAGACGAAGATTGAGAATGAAGAGTTCAGCTTACTGGACAGGGTATGTCAAACCTGCTCTCCACTAAAGTGACAGGTATAGCATAAATATATGAGTCATTATTAAATTTCATAAAATGTCAATGTGGAATTCACATACCAGCATGCTCAAGAGCTGTCAGAGCTTCGTCTGGGGATAGAGCAGGTGACAGAGCGTGAGCTCGACATGGCAAAGCGCCTGGAGGACTTCATTATCCAAAGTCAGGATCAGAATGCAGCGCTGCAGGCAGAAATTACAGAACTACGGAATCTCCTGGCTGTGCGAGAAGAGCAGCTCGCCAGTGCCACCTTCAGGTACGATTGTAGAGTTTAATCATGTTCCATTTCCCAGCAAATGTATTCATCTTTCTGTCAAAGTACGTTTCATTTTGCCTGGCTCTGTGTTTAATACACATTAGTGTAGTCATATCATACAGTATTAGGCATGTTTACAATCAGATAACATGCTTTTTCTTTGGTAAGCATTCCCCTTGTTATAACTATTTGTATTTGTCTCATATAGAGTTACTGAATCCTATTTAATCCAAGAGTGGAATGCAGTTAGCTAGCTGTGTCTGAATTAAATATCACTACTTATCTGATGCTTATCTGTGATCTGTAACCAGTGTGTTCTGTTTGTGTCTGTATGAGTATCTTTTTTTTAATCTTTCTGTCACAGGTTAGGTGTGATTGAGGAAGAGAGGGAGGAGGATGAGAGGAAGCTGTGTGTGGCCATTGCAGCAGCTGAGAGAATGAATGTACTGGTAAGAAAGAAAAACACCTCTTATCAAGCAGGAGTGAAGTGCACTTGTAAAGCTTTGCTAAATGAATAGTTCACCCCATAATACACTTTTAATCTATTCAGCCCCCGATGTCAGTCAAATCTGCAGTGAATTTGGTAGAACCATCTCACACTGAGCATGACTGTAAAGTTCTTCACCATACACAGGCAAAACTCTAACTGCTGAGTTGGGAGGGGTCATTTCTGCAGCTTCAAGGTGAAAATCTATGAATGTCAAACCTCAAAGACAAATGCTTTGCAGTTAAAGAAATGCACTATTTGTGCCCCATGCACAAAAATGTGCAGGACCCCTGGTATTATTACTGGGGAAAATACTGCAGATAAATAGATAAATCTACCAGACTTTGAACTTACAATAAACTTGCACCATGCAGTAAGAACCTTTAACAAACACCTGATCATGTTGTGATGCTAATTTGGGATCCCAACATATATTTTAATAAACCTCTGATTAAACCAATTTAATTTTATTTCAGAGTTAATGATCAGTTTTTGTTATAAGTTCACATTTAGACCATTTTTGTAAACAGTATTTCCAAGGAGGTATTGTGGGAGAAGCCCCGTCACAGACAATATACAGCAGTTTAACTGCATAGACGAGTGATTGACTAAAACATATTGATTGTTGTTTTTAATGTGCTCGCAGGAAGAGCAGTTTGCAGGCCTGATGAAGGACCTTCAACAGCTGAATGAGGCCTACAGTAGTGGCCAGAATAACACACAGCATCCTGACAAGCCACACATCAACAGCAACTGAACACTGATGGGAAAAAAAACAGCAACATTTTCATAGTATTGTATAAATGCATATATAGACTCACACTTCTGGTTTCCTGATTACATATAAATTTATTTTAGAAGCCTATTCAGGATGGATGTGAGAGGACAAACTGTGACTGGGGTGAACATGAAACATACCACATTTGTCTGCATTTCTGCCTTCACTGTAGCTCAGCTACAGATGTGTTTGACTTGTAAACCTTTCTGATAAATAAAGTCAATACAACCTCAAATGCATTCTCCAGTGTGTCATTGTAAGTGTAACAGTGCTGGAAAATATTTACTCAAGTAATGCTTTGAGGTACATGTAGCCTATTTTAAATGATAGCATTATCATTAGAAGTTGCTTTACGCGTGTACTCCACTAATTTTCAGACAGAAATGTTACACTTTAGACTCCACTAACCTCCATCTAATAAGATTTTACCTGAAAGCCTATGATCAGCTTATAAAATATGAACCACTGAAAAACACTCAACTATCTAAGAGTGTAGTATCATTTGCAGTTGCTGCTTAAATATGAATTCATCAGTAGTATTATTCCAATAATATAAACAAGGCCGCATCACAGATCAGATTCATCATGAGGCAGTTAGTCAGTGGTAATTCATTTATTTACTAATTGGCTTATTAACCTGAACCACTTATCTTTAGGTCTGTAGCTAGTGGTTGTTTTCATTGTTGATTTTTTTTATTGGCTGACTAATCATTTGTTCTATTTGAGGTCAGAGAGTAATTCAGAATGTCTCCACTGTGGTGTTTTTGGGAGTCTTACTTAGACTTATTTGTAGTAATGGAGCCTAAAGATACTTTATCTATCATACAGTATCATAAGTCTGATAAGATGACAGAGTGTGTATATCTGGGGCCTGAAATCAGAATATTGGGTGCCTTTGCTGTTAAAAGTGACCTGGAAGTAATGAATGAATGTATTAAGTGCCTATCAAAACAGCTGCAGACTGGTTTTCTGTCAGTGGATTGGTCAGCTTGTTGTCTCAGCTACATCTATTTTCATGTACATCATAACAGAGCAATGCTATGTATGAGTAGTGTGGATTTGATACTGATGCTGTCATGTTTGGAAAAACCTTATTAAATAAATATGTTGAATCACAGAAGTACATTGTAAAGTGAAATGCTAGGGGCATCAAGACAACCCCTACAACATTATCAAACGTTAGGGCCTCCTCTTACTGAGGGGCCATGGGTTAAAATACATGGCCTTTCATACTCTGCATAATGAGTACTTTTGGTATTTAATTACATTTTTCAAACACACCTCTCTATGTTTACCTAAGGGAAATAATTAAAAAAAAAACTTAAATCACATAGATAATTTCATATTTGTATTTTACTAGACCAATAACTATGATACTATGATTCATTAAGTCATTTAACCCATTTTAAAGTTATAATCCTTAAGAATTTTAGGCAATTAAATCCCTTTTTGATTTGACTTATGGTGAACAGAAATAGCTGTTCAGTGTGATTACATCCCATTTTTACCTCTGTATATACAGGTAGGCTTTTCATCTTAGTCAGTTGCCTTCACACACAGGAATTCACTCATCATATAATCTAACCCCATCTTGTGACTCTCATTAATACTGGAGTCACAGGGATCAAATTTCGTTAAACTGTGAAACTGAGACTTGCTGAACGTTTTAACCCCGTGCCGTCATTTCATTACACTACACCCAAATTTTGAAGGTATTTCCTAAACCTTCATCGACTCTTCTAATGATGCGGAATTAAAATGAAGCTGTCCAGTCCAAGGGTATATAAATTTCATCTGTTTTTCAGGTTAAACAAATAACTGTCAGGTCCGCTCGACGCGACCTGCCTCTCTTTCTTTTTTCCTCTCCTGCTCTCCCTTTTTGCGGGATCAACGCCTCAGCTGTGTCGCATCGGGTAATTAGTGACTCGTGGGTCGGTGCGCACACCTGAGGCGTATTCCGGTGATTTGTTGGCTTCCTTATTTATACCTCTGGCAGACGCCCAGAGCATTACGACATGTAACGGACAATACTTACCCTATAAAGTTTATGTTTGACCCGCATTTTTAGACGTGTGTAAGATGCTACGCTGACAGTTCCTGTGCGTTTTGGCTTGACCTTATCACACTATTATGCGGTTAGCAATATGTCCTTTTGTCTTCCATGCTGACAGTCCCTGTGGATTGCATTGTTTACGTTGGTTCTTTTTGTTCACCTGTTCGTTCTCATCCTCTGCTATCCTAGTTCCTGTCGTTAGTTTGTGTGTTTACCTGTTCGTCCTGGTCTCCTTAGTCATCACTGCCCTTTCCTTGTTGTATGTATTATGGACCCTGTTATGTTGTCACTTTGTTGTTTTTATTCCATTAAACCACCTTTTTTGTACTAGCACCTGGGTCAGCCATGTTGAGTCCAACCCCAGTTCTCCCTCACCCTCCTGGTGAGGGGGACTAAACCATAACAAGAAGTGATACATTTGGTGGCTTTTTTAATGCGTCCCTGAGGTGCACAGCTCAGCAGTGATGCTGCCAGGTTTCGCGGTGCCATTTCCTTGGTTATCTATGTAGGAGGATGTCATTCAGAAAAATTAAGATGGCAATGGGAAATGACGCTCTGGCTGCCAGCAGTCAGCTGTGTTATACCCACTGACATCAAAATAACCCTCACCAGGCCCACCATTGTTAAATATTTCACTCCGGCTCCTTCCCACAGTCCAAAAGACATGCAGCTTAGGTTGACTGGTGACTCAAAATTGCCGGTAGACGTGAGTGAGTGTGGGTGTGTGTAATTGTTTGTCTATATGTCAGCCCTGTCATAAATTGGTGACCTATCCAGGGTGTACCCTGCTTCTCACCCACTGTCAGCTGAGATAGGTCAATGTCAGCTCATTCCACTACCCCAATCAGGATAAGCGGCATAGATAATGGATGGATGGATAGTTAAGATTCCCGATTCATACTCTTGGGGGCGGTAAAGCACCATTCTGTTGTTCGCCAACTGGCATAAAACTCCGACAAGAAGAGGAGGAAGAAGAAGAAGAAGAAGTAGGAGGGATGCAAAGTGACAGAGAGCCAGCGAGCTATTGCTAGGACATACGCAACATTTGGACAGTCTTATCCGCCTTATCGAGTGGGACTGAATTATAGTTC